AAAAAAAAAAAAAAAAAAAAAAATTTAAAAGAAAAAAAAAGAATAGAAAAAAAAAAGAAAATTCATTCAACAGAACATTTGATCTTTTCTTTTCTTATTTTTCTATCTCTTCAACTAAATACACTTTCTACTGGAAAAGATACGATGACAGATATATAGCTCTTACGATTGACATGCTTACTTTTAAGAATATACGTGTATATACAACTGTATATCACCTATCTTCCAATGTCTTATTGCTTAAGCAGATGACATCACTTGGCTGAAGATAAAAGTGAAAAAAAAAAAAGAATAGTATAAATTTCAAAAAAGCAGAACAGAAGTGGTACAGATTGTCCACTGCTTTATACAGATATACCAACGGTTAAAACTGCTGACGTCAGAGCGTCATAAAAAGTAGATTAAGTTTATAGTCAACATTTTCATCTAGTCTATATTTTTTATTATTATCTTACCGTAATGTTCAGAACACTTACTACACCTAAGCCGTGTTTTTCTATCACATATGCTATATATAATTTCCGTATCCCAATGTGTTACGGAAATGACATACATTAGTAACTGTCAATAAGCCTAAAATGAAATGACAGAATAATTTCAAAAAGTTATTTCCAAAATATGACTCGACAGTTGATTTCAAATAGAAGAAACCATTTAAAAACGTTGCTACTGTGTTTTTATCCGATTATTACAAATACCTGTATAGAGTTTCTAAATTTATATCAAAAAAAAAATTCCATTCAAAACTCTTCTAATTTTCTATACAAATTTACTAAAGTCATTAATTAAAACAAAACAAAGAAAAAATTTGTCTTATAAAAGCATGATTTCGTAAACCACGCATTTATTTTTCATGTCACTCAAACTTAACGTCACTGAAAAGCTGTAATAACGAAAAAAAAAAAGAAAAACCATATAGTTTAAGAACCTTAATTTACATTAATACATATAAAAAATTTCATCAACATATGGTGGTCTTTTTTATGCTATTTGAACACTGCACTATAACTTCTTCAACTGGTAATAATCTTTGTTCATCTTTCGCTTCCTTTGTTTTAAAGCTTTATTTTCTGAACACTATAATACATCTACGAATAGTTGTGCACCAAATAATTCCTTAATTTCTTTACCATAAATTGTTTCCAAACAGCAACAGGTGCTGCACTTTTTCCTCATTTCAAATTCTATTTCCTTCTTTCACAAAATTTCGGAAACTATAAACAGAATTACTGTGAAGATAGCAAACTTGCCATTAGTTTTAAGACCACCAACAGCTATTCGAGTCATTTTTTTAGACCATTTACCGATGAATCGTAAAGAAGGAAGAAAACCAAATAGAAATGGTGCAATAGCTTAAAACTTTTGTTGTTGATAGCACCAAATAGGATAAGCGTTCAAAAAAAAGCTTAGTTTAACTTTAAAAAATCATATCATTACACGTACTACGCCTTATCTATCTTTACTTAACTGTCACTGCAAATCAACTTTTGATTACTTTCTATAGCACATGAGAAAAGTCCCAAGAAACTGGCCAAAGAATGATTCATTTTCAATTATGTTTCTTTGACTGTTTAAAAGTATGCAACAGAAAACTTGAAAAAAAAAATACTCATTAATCAGTTTCAAATAAAAATATTACTGTGCAAGATTTAGTCTTCAACAACCAAAATATTTGGTTTATTATTTAAAATTCACCGATCAGTATCAGAATCCACAATGAAAGAAAACCAAAAAAAAGTAATTTAATCCTAACCGGCTTATTTCACAGATTCCTAGCACGATATAACTTGAGTTCTACCAAACTTCGTTCAAAGAAAACTTATTAAGAATATTGTCTACTAGCTGTCCCTCCGAACAAGGTGACCGTATTTAGTAAAAATGATTGAGAAAGCCATAACAGTAAGTTGAAAGTACAGAATAAAAAACAAGCGTTATTAGAAGTGTTAGCACATGCAGTACAAGCATGATAAGTAGAACAAATATAGCTGTGATCAGGTTGTCAAATACTCCCTATTGATATCTTTTCTAAAAAACTGCTATATGACTGAAATAAATATTGGTAAAGTGATTTGCGGCTTTAGAAGCCTCTGAAAACCAATGTACTCATCATAATAAACGTTTTCCAGACAAGAAAAACTGCTTTCTTTCAAACTTTCTAAAGCCCGACGAAATTTGCCGTGTTTTAGCTGCCAAAACAATTTTGTTCTAATAAGCAATCAAAAAAATTGTCCTTTTACGGTAGCTTTACAGTACCTCTTTTTGGCGTTCTTAAAACTTTTCTTTCTGTAATTTGTTCTGAAATCTTAGCTAAAAAATGAAAAAAGAAAATTTTTAAAATAATCTCTATTATAAACAAAAAGATTCCCAGCACATTATCCCATCTAAACTCAGAAAAAAACACTTCAATTTTTTTTTTTCTTTTTGATGTTCATTGGAAGCGAAAAACGTTTAGTTTATTTAATTTTTTCAATAAGATTTTTTCACTCAGTCAATCATATGACTTGTATTCAAATTCTAGATGCTTAATTTTAATAAATCATCTAACCAATTTGATGCGTAAAAATTTGTTGACAAATACACCCACATTTACATAAACAA